TTAAGTAATCGGGTGTGCGGGTTATCATAAGGTGGACTTCAATAATTTGGATTCTTGCACTTCACTTGGTGGACTTAATATTAGAATGTTAGGGATTGTAATCCAAGTGAGAATATATACATTTTAAGACCTAACCAGGAACGACTGCGAAAAATGCAGCACAAGGTCCTCTGGTAGGAATTGAACCTACGGCCCTGCGATTCCGGTGCAGCGCTCTAACCGAGCTACAGAGGCCAGCTGTTGAGCTTTAACCGTAAGTTCATGTATATTTAGGTAATCGGGTGTGCGGGTTATGACAAGGTGGACTTCAATAATTTGGATTCTTGCACTTCACTTGTTGGAATTAATATTAGAATGTTAGGGTTTGTAATCCAAGTGAGAATATATACATTTTAAGACCTAACCAGGAACAACTGCGAAAAATGCAGCACAAGGTCCTCTGGTAGGAATTGAACCTACGGCCCTGCGATTCCGGTGCAGCGTTCTAACCAACTGAGCTACAGAGGCCAGCTGTTGAGCTTTAACCGTAAGTTCATGTATATTTAGGTAATCGGGTGTGCGGGTTGTGATAAGGTGGACTTCAATAATTTGGATTCTTGGACTTCACTTGTTGGAATTAATATTAGAATGTTAGGGTTTGTAATCCAAGTGAGAATATATACATTTTAAGACCTAACCAGGAACGATTGCAAAAAATGCAGCACAAGGTCCTCTGGTAGGAATTGAACCTACGACCCTGCGATTCCGGTGCAGCGCTCTAACCAACTGAGCTACAGAGGCCAGCTGTTGAGTTTTAACCGTAAGTTCATGTATATTTAGGTAATCGGGTGTGCGGGTTGTAATAAGGTGGACTTCAATAATTTGGATTCTTGGACTTCACTTGTTGGAATTAACATTAGAATGTTAGGGTTTGTAATCCAAGTGAGAATATATACATTTTAAGACCTAACCAGGAACGACTGCGAAAAATGCAGCACAAGGTCCTCTGGTAGGAATTGAACCTACAGCCCTGCGATTCCGGTGCAGCGCTCTGACCAACTGAGCTACAGAGGCCAGCTGTTGAGCTTTAACCGTAAGTTCATGTATATTTAAGTAATCGGGTGTGCGGGTTATGATAAGGTGGACTTCAATAATTTGGATTCTTGCACTTCACTTGGTGGACTTAATATTAGAATGTTAGGGTTTGTAATTCAAGTGAGAATATATACATTTTAAGACCTAACCAGGAACGGCTGAAAAAAATGCAGCACAAGGTCCTCTGATAGGAATTGAACCTACGGCCCTGCGATTCCGGTGCAGCGCTCTAACCAACTGAGCTACAGAGGCCAGCTAGCTGTTGAGCTTTAACCGTAAGTTCATGTATATTTAGGTAATCGGGTGTGCGGGTTGTGATAAGGTGGACTTCAATAATTTGGATTCTTGCACTTCACTTGGTGGAATTAATATTAGAATGTTAGGGTTTGTAATCCAAGTGAGAATATATACATTTTAAGACCTAACCAGGAACAACTGCAAAAAATGCAGCACAAGGTCCTCTGGTAGGAATTGAACCTACGGCCCTGCGATTCCGGTGCAGCGTTCTAACCAACTGAGCTACAGAGGCCAGCTGTTGAGCTTTAACCGTAAGTTTATGTATATTTAGGTAATCGGGTGTGCGGGTGGTGATAAGGTGGACTTCAATAATTTGGATTCTTGGACTTCACTTGTTGGAATTAACATTAGAATGTTAGGGTTTGTAATCCAAGTGAGAATATATACATTTTAAGACCTAACCAGGAACGACTGCGAAAAATGCAGCACAAGGTCCTCTGGTAGGAATTGAACCTACGGCCCTGCGATTCCGGTGCAGCGCTCTAACCAACTGAGCTACAGAGGCCAGCTGTTGAGCTTTAACCGTAAGTTCATGTATATTTAGGTAATCGGGTGTGCGGGTTGTTATAAGGTGGACTTCAATAATTTGGATTCTTGTACTTCACTTGTTGGAATTAATATTAGAATGTTAGGGTCTGTAATCCAAGTGAGAATATATACATTTTAAGACCTAACCAGGAATGACTGCGAAAAATGCAGCACAAGGTTCTCTGGTAGGAATTGAACCCTACGGCGCTGCGATTCCGGTGCAGCTCTCTAACCAACTGAGCTACAGAGGCCAGCTGTTGAGCTTTAACCGTAAGTTCATGTATATTTAGGTAATCGGGTGTGCGGGTTGTGATAAGCTGGACTTCAATAATTTGGATTCTTGTATAACTTCACTTGTTGGAATTAATATTAGAATGTTACGGTTTGTAATCCAAGTGAGAATATATACATTTTAAGACCTAACCAGGAACAACTGCGAAAAATGCAGCACAAGGTCCTCTGGTAGGAATTGAACCTACGGCCCTGCGATTCCGGTGCAGCGCTCTAACCAACTGAGCTACAGAGGCCAGCTGTTGAGCTTTAACCGTAAGTTCATGTATATTTAGGTAATCGGGTGTGCGGGTTATGATAAGGTGGACTTCAATAATTTGGATTCTTGCACTTCACTTGGTGGAATTAATATTAGAATGTTAGGGTTTGTAATCCAAGTGAGAATATATACATTTTAAGACCTAACCAGGAACAACTGCAAAAAATGCAGCACAAGGTCCTCTGGTAGGAATTGAACCTACGGCCCTGCGATTCCGGTGCAGCGTTCTAACCAACTGAGCTAATAAGGCCAGCTGTTGAGCTTTAACCGTAAGTTCACGTATATTTAGGTAATTGGGTGTGCGGGTTGTGATAAGGTGGACTTCAATAATTTGGATTCTTGCACTTCACTTGTTGGAATTAATATTAGAATGTTAGGGTTTGTAATCCAAGTGAGAATATATACATTTTAAGACCTAACCAGGAACGACTGCGAAAAATGCAGCACAAGGTCCTCTGGTAGGAATTGAACCTACGGCCCTGCGATTCCGGTGCAGCACTCTAACCAACTGAGCTACAGAGGCCAGCTGTTCAGCTTTAACCGTAAGATCATGTATATTTAGGTAATCAGGTGTGCGGGTTATGATAAGGTGGACTTCAATAATTTGGATTCTTGCACTTCACTTGGTGGCCTTAATATTAGAATGTTAGGGTTTGTAATCCAAGTGAGAATATATACATTTTAAGACCTAACCAGGAACGACTGCGAAAAATGCAGCACAAGGTCCTCTGGTAGGAATTGAACCTACGGCCCTGCGATTCCGGTGCAGCGCTATAATCAACTGAGCTACAGAGGCCAGCTGTTGAGCTTTAACCGTAAGTTCATGTATATTTAGGTAATCGGGTGTGCGGGTTGTGATAAGGTGGACTTAAATAATTTGGATTCTTGGACTTCACTTGTTGGAATTAACATTAGAATGTTAGGGTTTGTAATCCAAGTGAGAATATATACATTTGTATATTCTCACTTGGATTACAAACTATTCTCATTTGAATTACAACATATATACACAAAATATATACATGTACTATACATTTGTATATTCTCACTTGGATTACAAAATATTCTCACTTGGATTACAAACCCTAACATTCTAATATTAATTCCACAAGTGAAGTGCAAGAATCCAAATTATTAATTTCAAATGCACCGCCGGGGCTAAGGTTCGAGTGGAAATGCCCAACCCCCGGGATGTGCTTTACAGGAAAATGGCTGGGCAAGGGGGATGGGCACACTTGGATTTGGCTGATGCATTAAAAGTCCTGGGGCCGGTTGTATAAAAACGTAGTTAGCGCTAACTGCGGTTAAAAAGTAGTTAAAAAGCCTTAAAAAATAGTTAACTTTAATCACGTAGTTAAGCCGGTTGTATAAAAGTGTAGTTAGCCTTAACTGCAGTTAAAAAGAAGTTAAAGTTAACTATGCTTCAGGGTATAGTTAACTGTCCAAAACGTAGTTAAAAATGGCGTTTGTATAGGAGTGAACAACATTTTTCAGTAAAACAACAATGAAAAGCAACGGTTACCTGAGATTTTCAATCGCTATCTTCCCTGTGAATGTTTCCAGACCATATAAACTCTTCAAACGCGATAGCTTTGGTGTTTTTAGGAAAACAGAACAGATTTTTGCACATGACGATTCTCGAAGACGAAGTATGGTCCATTACACCAAGAAACACATATATAATTGCCAAACAGCTATACCTTGGTTTAACGTAGACATCTCAAGGAAAAACTGCATTCTTTTATGCCTTTTGTGGCGGTTTTTCCTTGTTTTCTTTTTTAGTTTTCACTGTTTTCTAGTGTTCCCGTCTATTTGCAAAATACGAGTCCACAATCATGTTGAAAATGTGTGTCAGCTGTCGTTACTCGTTGCTTACTTTATGTAATTTTGTGTTTAAACGCCCCACGCAAGCCCCACGCACAGTTAACTACGTGATTAGTTAACTATCCGACTTACTACGTTTTGTGCAACGCAGTTAAGTCATGTAGTTAACTAATTGCAGTTAAGGATTTAACTACAGTGATTAATGCTAACTACAGTTAGCGCTAACTACGTTTTTATACAACCGGCCCCAGTGCTTATTCCAGACTGCTTGTCAAATAATTACTTGCTAGAAGTAGAAATTTACTCTGACCACTGCATGAAGAAGACATTAAATAAGTACTGGTCAATAAACAGAAATGTATTTTATTTCATAGTATTACAATTTTATTTTTATACTATAAAAATACAATATAAACATGCAGCATAGAATATGCAAATTCGAGGCAAAATTATTGTTCAATCGGTTTATTTATAGGATTCTATAACAAATAGCAACTATAAAAGTTTGTACCTTGTCTTCACATCGCTTTATTCTGTTAGCCAATGCTTTTAAATTTACATATTTTAGAATCAGTTCCTTTCCTGGTAACTGCATTTCTAAATGAAACCATCGTGAGTAGTGAGTGCTGAGCAGGCCGTTTTACTATAAACAAATTTTAGGAATTGATAACAAATTTGAAAAATATGTCGTTGCACATTCGGTGACAGTCGGAAAAATGTTCAAGTATGTTGTACCGTCGTTTGCAACTAACGATGAACAGTCGCTCATAAAAACATTCCCGTGATTAGAATCTTCAATGTTTGTCAAGAACAACAACACTTAATTGTTGTTTCCCATGTGTGCAATAATAAGTAACAAAACTTTGTGTGGTCTGAACGTGTTGGGCTAGAGACCTAGTGGAAACTTTTACAGGCTTTTTAATGAGAATAGAGAATGTTTTATCTGCAACTGTTCACCCTTAAGCCCTGTTTAAACGGACCAACATTGTTGGGCCAACATCATCCAACATTGTTGAAATAATGGCTCAAACGGCTTCTTTTTCAAATATTTTGTCTAGACTAGGTTTAGGGTTTGAAGAGAGAAGCAGTCATATCTAGTATAGTAACATTGTTGGATGATGTTGGTCCAACAATGTTGGATCCGTTTAAACAGGCCTTTAGTTGCAACCGACGGTATTTGACAGCGTAAAATTGCCTGTGGCTGTGATAACTGATATAAATAAAATACAGTCTGGTTATACTGACTTGAGCATGTCATGACAAACTCTTTTTTGGAAAATTGTGAAGAAATAGTCGAATATAGAGGGTCGAATATCAAAGTTCAACTTGTATAGCTTCAGTATCATTGGTACATAGCGTTGTGAAGACAAGCCTTTGCTTACCTTTCGCTTCAGCAGTCTTTTTTTTCCATGCTTCTCTACGCTTTCCCAGGCGAGCTTCTCTTTCCTCAGCAGTCTCCTCGAGCAAAGGTTGTTGTCTTCGCTCCTTCCTTTTCGCTAGACGTTCGGCTTTCTTGTCGTTTCCTTGCCGCTCTTCATTTGGCACCATGCATATCTTTCAAACTGGTATTTGATACCGTAATTGTTTTATTAAACTTTTTATAGAACAAATTGCTTTGAAAGCTGTCAAAGTTTTTTGCAAATGTACAAAATACTGTAGTGTAAAAAGCAAATTATTTTCATGAAGTATCTGTCAGTTGAAGTCGTCATTTGTCATACAACAACAAATTTTAAATTTGACCAATCAATGTTCGCTATCCATGACAGTCCGCCATATTTTTGAGATCAGTGAGGATGACCACCCACGCACAGTGACCCACGCCCGCGATATTTGATGAACTTTAGACCAGTGAACTCTATATATATATATATATATATATATATATATATATATATATATATATATATATATATATATATATATATATATATATATATTTATAAAATAACCTTTTAATAACAACTGCGCTGATTGGTTGAAAAGCGAAAAATCCCGTGTTTCTATAACGTTATAGAACACGGGAATTGTCCACGAACCTCAAAACAACACACTAAAACAAACATTTTCGCCTGAAATATCGATTAAAAATCTTCGTCAACCTGAAATTTTGTTAAACAAGCAATGGAAAACACTTACCAAACGTTTTTTCGCTTTAAATTTTCTTTAAATCAACTTTTTCAGCGTGTTTTTTTCCATAATTTTGCAGTCGGCAAAACTGAAAATTGATGCCGGTATTGTTGCTAGACAACATTTTGTTGTTATTGTGTAATGAGAATATACTTTTTTATCGCGTTAAAAATATTGTTTTTGTGTTATTATCACAAGGTTATTTAATAAAGGAAATAGAAAACATTTTGTCCTGTGTCTCCATAGAGTTAAAGAAACACTTGTGCTATAGTTTGGGAGAACTCGAAATAACGTGGAAACCGCTCGCACTACGTGCTCGTGTTCCCCAGGGTTTATTTTAACTGAAAATTTAGAACTGCACATATAGGGATGTTAGTGATGTTACGAAAGCAACGGGTGTTTGACTGGGGGGAGGGGTTTAAAGGATTTTTTTACCAGCATATAGGTGACGGAATAATGGTGTGGTTGGGTGGGAGAAAAGCCAGACAAACTCGATTTTGGGTGCAATTTAACAGTCCAAGGGGGGGGGGGTGTTCCCCAAAACAATTTGAATCTAGAGGCTCTTAAGTTCTGGCAAAGTTTTGTTTTACCCAACCACTCGCAAAAACAGTTTCAAAACATGTAACTGGGAATCATGGATATTCAATATACATATAACAACCTTAAATTTTCATTTCAGCAAAGAATATTAGGTTCTCGGGCGTTCTCCCACTCTAATCTCTTTTGGAGAACTTCACTCGCCCCAATTTTACCTTCTTTTCCACTACCCAGAACGTAAGTGATTTGTGAGAAAAATAGGAGGGTCTGGAGTCCTCCCTCAGAAAACGTTTATGTTTTTGATGCTCAATGACAGCATTTCTGGAATTTTCTGGAGCATCCACAAGGGTAACGAGTAAATGAGAAGACTATTCTAAGGCTATTTTGTTAGTTTGGTGACTGCACATTTGTGTTTTAAGAACTGCACATATGGGTTTAGAACTGCACATTTTGTGTAGAACTGCACGTTAATTAAAATAAACCCTGGTGTTCCCACTGATTATTTCTCGTCAGTCTCCCAAACTAGCACGCGTGTTTCTATAACTCTATAGAAACACGGAAAATGTTTTCTATTTCTTAAATAGTATTATAGTTTAATTAAAGTTCTGTTAAGTTGAGTTAATTATTAGCCACCTCTAGATTATGTCATCGACGCTCGTTATGTAATTTAAGACGAGACATTTGAAGTCGAGATATAGAAAAGATCAAAATGATCGAGCCACGCTTTTAAACAGAGCAAGTGTATATATAGAGAGTTCGAACGTGAGGAAATCCACCCTTCAGGTACTATTTTATAGTTTTATAGTTCCGTGAACAGTCTTCAGTGTCATTTGTTTTATTAGTTAATTTTAGGCTATAGTCGATTTTAGCGAACATTTTATTATTATGTTATCTTTGTTATTGTAAAAATATGATCGGAATGTGCATGTTATATCTTTGTAAATTTGTGATTTTTAGAATTAAATTAAAAGGAAATCTCCTTGCGCGTCGCAGTTTGTCTCCCTGGCATGCGTCCTTACCACATATGACTGCATATGCATATCAGACAAAGTGATATCAATGTTTATGCCGTGGTTTATTCCGTGGTTTATGGAATTATCTATGACTATGTTCATATTCTAAAATGTGTACTGTATATCAGAAAAATACTGTTATAAATATTGCTGTTACCCCATTACTTAGTGCATGGAGGCCAAAAAATTATCAGGCTAAAGCCGTGATTGTATTTAGAACCTGATGATATATACCCTGAGGCTGAAAATTGTTGTACTTTACTACCTGCCAACCTCCTACCCTACCGATCTACAG